AGTGAGATTCTATTAACTTGTCAAATAAATGTTAATGCAGGTGATTGCAGCCCAAACTACAGTTTTTGTTCAAATCCATCTAATGTTCTAGATGAAAGTGATGCACATATTTTTTCCCCTAAATTTAATTTTGGGGTGTTCATACAGATTTTATTTCATGGACACTGAGTCACAATCATTTTTTTTCCTGACATGTTTAGGAAGTACTGCATTTGAATTATAGCCTCCCTGCCCGCTGGACCCTGAACCCTGAATCCCAGGAACAATGTCTTTTGGTTTATGGCAAGAGCCAATACCACCTTTGTGATCTGTCCCAGAAAGGATACAAATTTGCAAGCAGAGTTCCCCTCTTTCATTAGACCTTTGTCAACCTGTCCTGGCTTTTTTTTTTTTTTTTGGTTGGTCGTGGGGCTTGAACTCTGGGCTTGGGTGCTGTCCCTATGCTCTTCAGCTCAAGGCGAGCACTCTACAGCTTGAACCACTTCTGGTTTTCTAGTAGTTTATTGGAGATAAGAGTCGCACGGGCTGACTTTGAACCGCAATTCTCAGATCTCAGCCTCCTCCTCAGTAGCTAGGATTACAGGCATGAGCCACTGGCGCCGGGCTTGGCATTTTTTTTTTTTAAGCATAAGTTTCCATACAGCAGCAACAGATTCTCAGTCCCTGCAATTCAAGATGTGGTCTATGGACCCACAGCAGTAGCAACATCTGCAATCCTGCTGAGAACCTCATATGAATTTCCATGTGAAAGAGATACTGAATAAATGCTCACTGGAGACTCATCCCAGTTTGGACCCCTTACTATTGTAGATTCTTAGCTATGTTCAGTCATTTCCTAGATCTATTTTAACTTGCAGAAATATCTGGATCCAGCTCAGTGGGGCACAAGGCTATCCAGAATATATGTACAGCACACATTGTGGGTAACAAACTGAACTTGTAGACTCCAGCAATGTCATTACTGGTGAATTTTATTACTACTAAGTACTTTTGTTTAGTGTTGAGAATGGCTTGTATGGGCTGTTGATGTCATGATCCTGAACAGGAATCACAAACTATATCCTGTGGTGGCCTAATCTTCCTATTTTTGTAAATAAAGTTTGATAGACATATAGATGCACGCATTTGTTTACTTTGGCCACTTTTTTTTTTTTTAATCATGGGACTTGAGCTCTGGGCCTGGGCATTGTCCCTCAGCTCTTCAGATCAAGGAGATCACACTTGAGTCACAGTACCACTTCCAGTTTTTTGGTGGTTAATTGGAGAGAAGAGTCTCACAGATTTTTCCTGCCCAGGCTGGCTTTGAACTGTAATCCTCAGATCTCAGCCTCCTGAGAGGCTATACTTTGGCTATTTTTAAAAATCGATCATGGCAAAGTTAAGTCATTGCAACAGGTACCATATGGCCCACAGAGCCTAACATATTTACTTACTGATTCATTATAGGAAAAGTTTGCCAACCACTGGCTATGTTGGACATGACAAGTACAGTCCATTGCAGTCACCCACAGGAACTTGTAACAACTTTGGAAGATGGCCTTCAAATGTCTGTTTACCCATCTTCTAGAGTAAATGGCTTTGTGTGACTCTTCACCTTAAATGAGAGCTGGACCTGAGATTTACTTCTAACAAACAGATAATAGCAAAAGTGATGGAATGTCACTTCTGTGGTCAGATGACAAAGACAAATGATTTTTACCCTGCCCCTCTTGTCTCTTTAGCTTGCACACTTTGGTGGGACCCGGGTGCTATATTGGAGAGGCCCATGCAGCAAAGCACTGAGGGCCCCTTCTAACCAACTGTTAGGAAGGAACAGAGGCCCTTAAGCCTAAAACTCCTCAAGGAATGGAATCCTAATAACCACATCTGTGAGCTTGGGAGTAAACCCTTCCCCAGAGGTGACTACAGCCCCAGCTGACACCTGGAACACCCAAGGGAAGCCCACAGAGGACTCAGGGAAGGTGTGCCAGATTTCCTGCTCCACAAAGACAATGATCAAGTATTTTAGGTCACTAAGATTTTGGGTTGTTATAAGCAACTGATAACTAATACCAATCTATACTTAAACCTTGGCACATATTACCATAACATTTTCCACAGCCTAGAAGGATATTGCCATGGTTATATATTAAAACAAGCTGATCAATACCTGAACCTCTTTTGTAGTAGAGAAAATTCTCTATTGTGGGCATCAGTGAGCCTTTCCCACAGGGGAATATGTTATAAACTTTTTCATGTGAGGCCAGGTATGAAAAAGGATCAAACGTAAGGTTCTTTAGAGGCATGAGATTGCTCATTGTGAGTAGGATTGTTCTGGAAACTTCCTGCTCTATGGCTACCCTTGAAGATAGCAATAATTTAGCATCTCTGAATCTCAACCATTGCATAAGACAACAATCTTAATTCCTTCGTAGTTCCTGACATGGACACATAAGGTAGGGTTGGTTAACTTTGAAACATGAGTGTGTGGTGTGAAAACTGGGGTGGAATTTTGAGGCATAATTTCTGGTAGGGTCTGGGCATGCCCCTCCTTTGGCCTTTGTCTGTTTTTATATCTTGCTGGTCAATTCTGAGAACCCTTCAATCTTTCCAGCAGGGTTTTTCTCTTCTTAAGTCAGCCAGATTTTGCTCCTATTGTTTACGACAGAAAAATCCAGCAAAAGCTAATGAATAGCAATGCTATAGCAATGCATGAAAAAGATAGAAATCCCAGATTCAACAAGAGTGTAGGTAGGTTTATGGCTAATGGATTTTTATATCTATGTATATTTCACAATAAAAATTTATTTTTAATTATACATTTCAATGGCCCATCATAGAAACATTTTATGACCTTTCTTCATGTCTTTTTGGTAATGATTTGGGCAGTGCTATAATTATTGTATAGCCTTTTTCTCATTTAGTACATCAGAGTCATTTTTCCCATGTCTTTAAAAACCACATTTTTAAAAGGCTATAAAATGTTTCAGTCTGTGCTCAATCAAGAAGCCTGGATAGCGTGGGTCTGAAACCGGGACTGAGATCTATAGACTAAATCAAAAGGAAGGGGTGCCTTTCTCTAATTGGTTAGCTTTCTTTTGGCAATTTTACTGCCAGAGGGCATGCCTTAAAAAAAATCCATAAATAGGCTGTATATTCGCTGGAATCCCTAATCCCATTAAGTGGGTATAGGATAATTTCTTCAGCCAATCCTTTTGAGTTGGGCATTTAATTTCCTTCCTTTCCTTATGGGCTCAAGTCCATAATCCTAGCTACTCAGCAGCCTGAGATCTGAGGATCACAGTTCAAAGCCAGTCCAGGTAGAAAAGTCCCTGTTTAACTCTTACCCCTCTAATTAACCACTCAAAAACAGGAAGTAGAGCTGTGGCTCAAAACGATAGAGCTTAGGGACAGTGACCAGGGCCTGAGCTCCACAACTGACAAAATAAATTTAAAAAATTCCTTCCACATTTCTTTTGAACAAGAATAAATACTTGTTGCTGAACATTTTTAGGCCTAAAACACTTCCACATTTGTTTTTTTTTTTGGGGGGGGTTGATTTTTACGTTTTGATTAATGAAGTCAAAGGGCATGAATAGCTTTGTGTCTCTTTATAAACATCACCAAGTATGTGACTTTTCCAAAATGACATTATCACTGTTGGCTACTTCCTTTGGTATGAGAAAGTGCTTATTTAAAGCTGTCCTCCCCTGCAAGAGATATTAACTTCTTGAAGTTGCTTCTTTGGAAGACAACCAGTCCCTCCCTATTCTCTAAAGGTTCTTAGGATTTGCAAACCATTCTAGAGGTTTTTAGGCACACTGACAGGAAAACAACAACAAAAAAGATGTATTACACTTTTTTTTTTTTTGGTCAGTCCTGGGCCTGGGTGCTGTCCTTGAGCAATTTTTGCTCAAGGCTAGCATTCTCCCACTTTGAATCACAGTGCCATTTCTGTTTTTGGGGGTGGTTAATTGGAAATAAAGAGTCTCATGGACTTTGTTGCCTGTGCTGGGTTCGAACCACGGTTCTCAGATCTCAGCCTCTCAGGATTACAGGCTTGAGCCCCTGGCACCCAAGTTTACACTTTCATAGGTAAAATCGTGATGACTATTTCAAGACAGTTTGCTGAGACTTAAAACCCATTTGTTGTACATCTCAACAGAGCTTGGCTTTTGTGGAACTCAGTTATGGCAATACAAAGGAAAATTTTAGAACAATTTAAATACAAAATGACATCCTGTGACTTAACAACAAAACGCATCGAACATTAACATTGTTGGATATCTTAAAGAACAACTGGAGACTCATTGAATGAGACACGAGTGACACTTTTAGCTTTGTCCAGGAATTGAGGGCCTTCCAATGAGTCGCTATTTACCTATACTTTTCAAAACAAAGTCAATAATTTTCTTCTCAGAAAAACATCCTTGGCTCCTTGACCAAACAGTTACTGCCCTTACCTATGGTAGCACACTAACATTGCAGAACCTTTACCGTGTAACTCCCGTGTGCAAATCCTGATTTCGCCAGCTAGGGAAAGGGTAGACAAAGGGAAATCATGTAAACAAAGTCGTGATGCTGTGTGGGGTCAGAGAGCAAAATTCAGCCACTTGCGCCAAATGGGTTGACCGAGCACTCTACTGGGAATTGCAAAGCGGGGAGTCCTATTTTCGGCTCTGCTGACCTCAGGAAATATTTTCCTTGTTATTTTTCTCCTTTTTTTTTTTCTTTTTGTAAAGGGCATCTTTCTCTGCTACCCAACAAAGAAGCCCGTTATGAGAATTAATGAGCCTGGAAAACGCTTTGACGTCTCCGCAAGGCCTTCCCGAACACACTCAGCTTCCCGGCCCGTGGGCACTGGTGTCCCCGGTGTGACTCGAACTCGCCAGTTTAAGTTCACTCTGCGCCCTCGCGAAACTAAGGAACGAAATGGTGTCCGCTCCAAGCGGGGGGACTTCGCCTTCAGACGTGGTTTCCGCCGCCCCGATGGGCCCACGCTCCGGTCATGAACGACGGCGATGGAGGAGGGGAATAAAAAAAAAAAAGCAGGACGTGGCCAACGGGAACGGAGGAGCGGGCCGGGCGCGGGCGGCGGAGCCCGGGCGCACTCCCCCCCCACCCCCGGGGGCACGGCTCGCAGCGGCCCAGCGGGGATCGATTACTCTCGCCTGGGCGACCCGCGGCGCCCGGGCCCCGAGCAGCCCCGGGCAGGGAGGGAGGCGGGGCCACAACAACAAAAAGAAGGGGAGTGGGCGGAGTCACGGCGGCGACGGCGCTGGCGGCGGCGGCGGCGGGCGGGAGGAGTCCCTATGCTCTTCAGCTCAAGGCTAGTGCTCTACCACTTGAGCCACAGTGCC